GAGAGGAAGCACAGCAGAGCAAGCAGAGAGTCCACAGCCTGTGCCACATCTAGGTTCTGAGAAAAGTGAATTAATTGCAGTGATTACAGCGAGTGGTGTGAGTGTGACAAAGGTTACTTACACCTTATTGCAGACAGTGAATGGTATGACAGTGACACTTACCCCTGATTGCAGACAGTGAGTGGTATGACAGTGGCACTTACCCCTGATTGCAGACAGTGAATGGTATGACAGTGACACTTACCCCTGATTGCAGACAGTGAGTGGTATGACAGTGACACTTACCCCTGATTGCAGACAGTGAATGGTATGACAGTGACACTTACTCCTGATTGCAGACAGTGAGTGGTATGACAGTGTGATTGCAGACAGAGTGGTATGACAGTGACACTTACTCCTGATTGCAGACAGTGAGTGGTATGACAGTGACACTTACCCCTGATTGCAGACAGTGAGTGGTATGACAGTGGCACTTACTCCTGATTGCAGACAGTGAGTGGTATGACAGTGACACTTACCCCTGATTGCAGACAGTGAGTGTATGACAGTGACACTTACCCCTGATTGCAGACAGTGAGTGGTACGACAGTGACACTTACCCCTGATTGCAGACAGTGAGTGGTATAACAGTGACACTTACTCCTGATTGCAGACAGTGAGTGGTATGACAGTGACACTTACTCCTGATTGCAGACAGTGAGTGGTATGACAGTGACACTTACTCCTGATTGCAGACAGTGAGTGGTATGACAGTGACACTTACTCCTGATTGCAGACAGTGAGTGGTATGACAGTGGCGCTTACCCCTGATTGCAGACAGTGAGTGGTATGACAGTGGCTCTTATTCCTGATTGCAGACAGTGAGTGGTATGACAGTGACACTTACCCCTGATTGCAGACAGTGAGTGGTATGACAGTGACACTTACCCCTGATTGCAGACAGTGAGTGGTATGACAGTGGCATTTACTCCTGATTGCAGACAGTGAGTGGTATGACAGTGACACTTACTCCTGATTGCAGACAGTGAGTGGTATGACAGTGACACTTACCCCTGATTGCAGACAGTGAGTGGTATGACAGTGACACTTACTCCTGATTGCAGACAGTGAGTGGTATGACAGTGACACTTACTCCTGATTGCAGACAGTGAGTGGTATGACAGTGACACTTACTCCTGATTGCAGACAGTGAGTGGTATGATAGTGGTACTTACCCCTGATTGCAGACAGTGAGTGGTATGACAGTGACACTTACCCCTGATTGCAGACAGTGAGTGGTATGACAGTGACACTTACCCCTGATTGCAGACAGTGAGTGGTATGACAGTGACACTTACCCCTGATTGCAGACAGAGTGGTATGACAGTGACACTTACTCCTGATTGCAGACAGTGAGTGGTATGACAGTGACACTTACCCCTGATTGCAGACAGAGTGGTATGACAGTGGCACTTACACCTGATTGCAGACAGTGAGTGGTATGACAGTGGCACTTACTCCTGATTGCAGACAGTGAGTGGTATGACAGTGACACTTACCCCTGATTGCAGACAGTGAGTGATATGACAGTGACACTTACCCCTGATTGCAGACAGTGAGTGGTACGACAGTGACACTTACCCCTGATTGCAGACAGTGAGTGGTATAACAGTGACACTTACTCCTGATTGCAGACAGTGAGTGGTATGACAGTGACACTTACTCCTGATTGCAGACAGTGAGTGGTATGACAGTGACACTTACTCCTGATTGCAGACAGTGAGTGGTATGTCAGTGACACTTACTCCTGATTGCAGACAGTGAGTGGTATGACAGTGGTACTTACCCCTGATTGCAGACAGTGAGTGGTATGACAGTGCACTTACTCCTGATTGCAGACAGTGAGTGGTATGACAGTGACACTTACCCCTGATTGCAGACAGTGAGTGACAGTGTATTGACAGTGACACTTACCCCTGATTGCAGACTGACAGTGGCACTTACCCCTGATTGCAGACAGTGAGTGGTATGACAGTGACACTTACTCCTGATTGCAGACTGGTACCCCTGATTGCAGACAGTGAGTGGTATGACAGTGATTGCACTTACTCCTGATTGCAGACAGTGAGTGGTGGCACTTACTCCTGATTGCAGACAGTGAGTGGTATGAGGCACTTACTCCTGATTGCAGACAGTGAGTGTGTATGACAGACTTCCTGATTGCAGACAGTGAGTGGTATGACAGTGACACTTACCCCTGATTGCAGACAGTGAGTGGTATGACAGTGGCACTTACTCCTGATTGCAGACAGTGAGTGGTATGACAGTGACACTTACTCCTGATTGCAGACAGTGAGTGGTATGACAGTGACACTTACCCCTGATTGCAGACAGTGAGTGGTATGACAGTGACACTTACCCCTGATTGCAGACAGTGAGTGGTATGACAGTGACACTTACCCCTGATTGCAGACAGTGAGTGGTACGAGAGTGGCACTTACCCCTGATTGCAGACAGTGAGTGGTACGACAGTGGCACTTACCCCTGATTGCAGACAGTGAATGGTATGACAGTGACACTTATTCCTGATTGCAGCCAGTGAGTGGTATGACTGTGACACTTATTCCTGATTGCAGACAGTGAATGGTATGACAGTGACACTTACCCCTGATTGCAGACAGAGTGGTATGACAATGACACTTACCCCTGATTGCAGACAGTGAGTGGTATGACAATGACACTTACTCCTGATTGCAGACAGTGAGTGGTATGACAGTGACACTTACCCCTGATTGCAGACAGTGAGTGGTACGACAGTGACACTTACCCCTGATTGCAGACAGTGAGTGGTGTGACTGTGACACCTTACCCCTGATTGCAGACAGTGAGTGGTATGACAGTGACACTTACTCCTGATTGCAGACAGTGAGTGGTGTGACTGTGACACCTTACTTACCAGAGATTGCAGACAGTTTGCAGTGCGGCCCCAGATAAGGTGTGAAACCTTGCCTACCTGAGAGTGCAGTTTGCAAAGGGACTGAGTGAGCGGAGCAGACACTCCAGACATTGGCATTACTACTGTAAGTAACGTTAACTTTCATTGCAGCTTTTGAGTAAATGGTATGTATGTACCCAGGATTCCATATTGTGAGCATGAGAATGAAATAAGTAATTTTAGTTTGTGATGGTATAATATTCACCAACTATAGGTCAGGGCACAAACTTTAGTGCCGACCATTTTTAGTTGTCCATGGAAGTAGAGCTAAATCAGCTCTTCTTACAGGAAAAATTCATTTGAGTTAGCCTTTCAAAATACAACTTTGTGTCACTTTAATATGCTTAAACTGTTGCATAGAGAATACACTGTTAAAGGACCACTATAGTGCCAGGAAAACATACTCGTTTTCCTGGCACTATAGTGCCCTGAGGGTGCCCCCACCCTCAGGGTCCCCCTCCCGCCCGGCTCTGGAAGGGGAAAGGGGTAAAAACTTACCTTTTTCCAGCGCTGGGCGGAGAGCTCTCCTCCTCCTCTCCGCCTCCGTTACGCCCCGCCGGCTGAATGCGCACGCGCGGCAAGAGCTGCGCGCGCATTCAGCCGGTCTCATAGGAAAGCATTTACAATGCTTTCCTATGGACGCTGGCGTGCTCTCACTGTGAAAATTACAGTGAGAAGCACGCAAGCGCCTCTAGTGGCTGTCAATGAGACAGCCACTAGAGGGAATAGGGGGAAGGCTTAACCCATTAATAAACATAGCAGTTTCTCTGAAACTTCTATGTTTATTAAAAAATGGGTTAACCCTAGAAGGACCAGGCACCCAGACCACTTCATTAAGCTGAAGTGGTCTGGGTGCCTAGAGTGGTCCTTTAAGTGACCATTTTCTATGTATGTGAAATATTTATATAGAAGTGTTAATTTAAATTCCCTTCAAATTGCATGTTGTAAATTATTTTAAAAATAAATATTTAAAAAAAACTAGTTTTGTAACAATTCTGGCATCATGAGATATTGTTACAATTGCATATTTAAAGCAGACTTTAGCATATTTAACAAGGTGCTGGAAATCTGAATTTTGTTCTCCACGTTTGTGTGTGTGTGTGTGTGTGTATATATATATTTATATATACACACATGTTTTGTAATTGCCCCCTACTTCTGTCCCTGGCCCCCCATGTGTCCCCCCTAAATATGAATGCTGGAGACGCCACTGCTCATTACCTGTGTAAAAGATACCTGAGAGCCAGAAATCTTACTGACTGATAGGGGATCAAATACTTATTTCACTCATTGACATGCAAATCAATTTATAACTTTTTTTCAGGATTTTTTTTGTTATTATGTCTCTCACTGTTAAAATACACCTACCATTAAAATTATAGACTAATAATTTCTTTGTCAGTGGGCAAACATTCAAAATCAGCAGGGGATCAAATACTTTTTCCCCTCACTGTACATGATTAAGGCTTGACACTGAAATGATGTATATCATTTTGTTCTTCTGAACCTGAACAAAACTATTTGCAATACTCTGTAAAGCCTTTGGAATTTGATTTTGAATACCTCTAAGGGACTGCATATCCCTTGCATGGTGCTCCAGGTGTGTTAGCAGACTATACTGGGTTCTATCTATCTATCTATCTATCTATCTATCTATTCCATTTAATTTCAGGGGGCTCTAGTTAACGTCCATTTGTCCATCTATGTTTGTCGGGTTCACAGTTTAGTATACAGAGACCAAGATGCAGATGAGTGTTTAAGGCAATGGGCCAAGTTTGCAGTACAAAAGGATCAGATGAAGAGAGTAGTTGGGGAAGCCAAAGGTCAGGACAGGCGGCACAGATTCAGAAGCGATAATACAGGCAAAGGTCAAAATCAGGATACAACAGGAGAGTCTCTGAAGTTCTTTATACAATCAGGAGTACAGTACAACTGAACAAAGAGTGAAGGGTATGTGCGGCTTAAATAGGGAAAGTGAGTGGTCTTGTCTATTGAGGTTCCACCCTGGTCTCCACCTCCTGTACCTTTAAAAGGTTCTGTGTTGGAGCACGTGTGCCCTTTGATTCTCCTGAAGTTCTATCTGCTGTGTGGTCATATGTGGAATCAGCGGCGTTCTCACAAACAGAGTCCTATCTTGCTGTGTTCGGTAACTTGCGTCCGTACCAACAGAGTTCTGTCCTCTGTATTGCTGTATTAGGTAAGTGGTGTTCTCACGAACAGACTTCTGTTCTTGCTGTGTTCGGGAGCCGGCGTCCGTGCGAATTGAGTTTTGTCCTCTGTATTGGTGAGTGGCATTTGAACGTGAGCGGTTCGCGTTGGTGGTTGAGCAGACCATGCTGCCTGGGGGGCCGCTTTCCAACATGGCGTCCTTGTGGAGTGTGAGAGAGATGTGGCGTGGGAGCATGAGGTAGGTGAGTGTGGGAGCGAGGTCCTGATACTGTTCTTATTCAAATTTTTGCATCTCTATCTCCCTTTTGTGGTCTCTTACCAACTCATTTTTTCTTGTTCTATCCTTTAGTGTGTCTTATCCCCGTATTGCCCCTCCTGTGCCAATGAACCCTTTTTTGTCACTTACTCCCACCTTTCTGTCCCCTTCGAGACAATTAATCCCCCCTTTGTCTCTCCTTGAGTTTATCACTTCCCCCTTAGTGACTCTCATCCTGTCTGTAGTGTGTTATCGTGGAGTGGGGTAGAAGACCTTTTCTTTCTCCTCTACCCGGGTTGACCAGAAGCTTCTCTGTGCTCACCTTCCTATCACAATGAGCAGCTCGCTGTCTGACCTGATGGAGCATAATGAAGATCACCTTACTGTCGTTAGTGAGGCCATGCTACAGAGACTGACAGGCAGAAGGGGGACCTCTGTGCATATTTTCGTCCCACGTGTCATTTGGAAATTGCATACTAAGGTGACCATTTGTTGTACAACCTTATTGTCACTCTGGTATTGTGTCAGTATAAGCATATATTACACATACATTAACTCTGATTCTGCAAATGTGCATACTGTTGGCAGAAGTCCTGCTTGTTTGTACTGGATGCACACATGTTTAGTTCCTGAAAACTGACTGAAAACTTCCTGTTGGAATTAAAAGTTAAAGGGGTGGAGCTACAACACAATATTTTTTTCTTTTCATGAATCATGTATCTGTACAAAAAAAAAAAAATATGATGCTCTGATTTTCTGAGTATTTAAAGAATATTAATTAACCAGTTGTTAACATCCATTTATCACTCAATGGAACCTGATTTTCTGCTTTCAGATTAATTACAGTCATGAAGCAAGCACAATATCTGAACCGACTTCTCGCTATTAATGGATTCCTGTAGATTTCTGCATTAATAGATAAAACTGTTTCCCCTCCATTGTCAGTGTTAAAAGATCCTTTACGCCAGCAGAGAAAATATGTCTCTGATGCTGAACACTGAGAGCCCATCAGACTGGAGTTATTCATATTCTAATCAATCTGGGAATGATCAATAAACTCAGATGAATACTCTTCAGTTTTTCTCCATAATTAAGGCAAATGATTCTGCCAATTTGGAAGGAATACATGAAAGCTCTGGTATTCAGCATTCATACTTTCTGAGTTCTTGGCAGTTAAAAGCTTTCTGCAAATCAATGAAATTTGTGTAGGACGTTCAAATCAATTCCTTCAGCTTTTCCCATCAGAACCTTCTTGGTGAATACTTGCTCTCTAGATAGTGTGTTTCCTTGTATGAAATCCGAGTCTAATGTGGCTCTAGTTTTGATACAATGAAGTGACAGCGCGAACGATAGAGCTCTCATTCGAGACGAGTTGCCTCTTTTTTCCAGCAAGCTCATCTTTTCATCTCCTTGACAAACTACATTCGAGACAGTTTTGTTTCCAGCTAAACTAGCTATTTTTTTTTTGCTAAGCAGACGCTGCACTTTTTTGGCAGAGTTTTAAAAAAGACAAACAGAGAAAGTGTATCAGCAAAGTTGTGAAAGGATAAGGCTGCGTGCAAAAATACCTTTTGTATAAAAATAAAACTATAGACCATTAAATGGTAAGGTCTATCACACTGTAAAATGTAATCATGGTTACAAAAACCCTTGAGCAGTAGGGAAATCTTTGCTTTTGGTTGCGTTTGAAGAGAACCATGAAGTGCAGGTTGCGAGAGGGTTGTGCGAGAAACAGACTTAGTTTCAGTCCAAATCAGACTCTGTAAAGGAGAGATACGAAGTTCAGTATCAACCTGGCAGACTTGGTTTTGGGCATTACTAGTACTAGGGGAGCATGTGTGGTTTTAGGCGGGACCCTCTAATTATTATATCAAATCTTTACCTTAATTTAGTTTTTTTGGGCAGATAATCACAATCTGTTAGAAAAACTTTTATAAATGATTTATCTACACAAGTCACCAATAAAGCCCATGGTAATATTTGTAGATAAATCATTTCAAATGTAATAATTTAAAAAGCTTAGCCAGGATCATAGTGAACTAAATAATTAAATCAAGGCCTTTAACATGGGAGAGAACCAGTGGCCGTTCCCTTTGTTTATAGGGGACCCTGGGACCCTCCACAGTATTTAAAGGACACATCTCACCACCAAAAATTGGATCAGGAATAGGTTCATTGAGCAGATGTCTATTTCTTAACACAGGGCCCTACACTGCAATACACATTTTGGTGATACGGTAGACACCCCGCTTGTTTCATATTTTCACTCTTACCAAGACTTGTCAATATTATTATTTCTTTGATCTTTGACAGCTGTTATTGACAAAGTGGATGAGATTTGGTAGATAGCTCATACCGAATGCACTCATTATAGACTTTCCTCTATTACTGAAAGAGTTATGGACGATAAGACTCAGCAGAAAGGTACTGGAGCTGGGTTGACCTACAGCATTCTTTGGCTGTCATCCAGAGTCTCCTATAAAACACACCATCGCATTCACTTTGTGTAGGATAGTGTCTCAACAAACACTGAAATGTTGACAGGTTCATTGTTTTGCAGTTTGCATCAATATGTTAGTTTCTTAGTTTGCATTTTTTTTTAAATATATTTTATTTAACAAAACAACATTTTCTGTTTTAAAAATGTACTGTAGTTCTGTCTTATATATTACATACAGATATGTTTATTGATGGATGGATGGACAGATAACTAGACTGGTAGATGGATGATATATACCACTACCTAAACAATTCACTCGATCAATACTCATCTTTAAAGAACATAATAAAGTGATATTGGATTTCTCAGTATGTGTATACTGACAGTGTTATAAAAATGCATACTTAGAAGAGGAGAAACAAAGCCCAGGAGAAAATAACACACAATATTATAAAACTAAACCTGAACGTGAGCAGAATAGTTTTTATTGAATTGTGTGAATTGTCTTTCATGGAATGGAGATCTCCATGCTTAGAATACCACTCCAACTCTGAAACAAGAAAACTAGCTGAAAGCGACATTCTAGGTACCGCATTTCATTGAAGTAGTTATGGTGCCTGAAGTCCCCTAATGCCATCCCACAGTTCAGGGTTAAAACATTTTTGGTTCGTTTAATACTGAATAAGGGTCCTCGGAATAACATGACTTTGCCTCCTTTTGGACATATGAAGGTAGAGTCTAGCTCTGAATTATTCCTTTTTACAGGCGGCATTGATTGTTAGCGATCAGCAGACCCTATCGGCCAGACACTGCCACCTATGCCTGGCCAACGCGGAGATGTTAGCCAATGCAGCAGGGCTGAAGGTGCATGGGGACCATCATTTAATGTTAAACCGATCAAATAAGTGAGAAGAAATCAGGGGTACTCTAAGCACTATAACCACTTCAATGAGTGCCCCTTTATTCCTCAATTATATCTATAATACATTAAACTTATTTTAACGACTTCATTAATGGTCACACAATAAGAAAAACATCTATTGTGGGTTACATATGCATCATGTATCTGTGATTTCGCTCCACATAGATACCAAAAATGTGTTTCTTTTTATTTATATTTTTTATAACTAAACACGTTTCCTGCAGTGTGCAAAAAATAAAAATAAAAATGTGAAGCTACCTCTTTAAGATTTAGCGCCCAGCCTTTGTGTCCTTAATGTCTTCCTATAAATGATAATGACATGTCTCTTGACTTAATAACCCCATCTTGTTCTACCGGGCACAATCTCATCTACAGACATCGTTGGCCTGACATTAGGTCCCCGTGTCCTGTCTCAGCCATATATTAAGTTACAGTATGACCACGTCTTTTCTAAGAATTTCCAGGAGCCTTATCTCTGTCCATGGGGATTCGCGCCATCGTTTATTGGCATTATGGACAGAATGTATCTTCATTTGAGGATTGAAAAGAAAGGAATAAAGGAATCATATTACATAGAGCTGATTTTTATCTGTGAGGTTTTTACAATCCAATTTTCTCAAAGCATTCTCTGCTCCGCTGGGGCTTTTTATGACAAAGATTCTGAGGAATAACACTTCAATCCATTTGTATCACATAAAACTCCAATTAGCATTCATGTGCTCGGTACGTCTGTACCTGTTTAATGAACTTTCATCCACTCCTGCTTTTTATTTTAAGATTAATTAACTGAAATGAACTTTGTAGCTTGGAATTAAACAGTGTAAATTTCAATTTTTTTCTTTCAGTGTAAAAATAAGTAAATACATGGATAGATAATGATGTTTCTTGATGAAGTTAACAATGTATTTGAATATGAAGTGGTGCACAAGCTGAGGATTTTCAAAAGGGAAAACAAATCAAATCAAAATACCTCTTTCTGTTCTTTAAATCCTCTGCTCGAAGTTAAATCCCATTACAGATGCTGTTCCATTAACTGAGAGGTCTAACATGTTAAGCAAATAATATTAAACCGATTGGCAAATAAACCGTTTTGTCAAGTTGAAATTACAAAGCTAGCACATGAGACTTTTTTTCTCGCTGCCTAGGCAACAAAGCTTTCACTCTATCAGCTGGCCTCTCATTGCAAGCAGAATTTAGTGTATGTAGGCATTTTTAGACAAAAAGTTGATAAACAGGCAAAAATACTGAAACCTTTATCTTGATCCAAGAATTCTGCCTGTTTTGCTCTTTCAAAGTTCTGCAATGGCAGCTACTGTTACACTGGAGAGACATGAAATGTAGGTAGAATATATAAACTACATTATCCTGCTGAAAGAGGCCACTGCCATCCTAAAACACCATTGCCATCTCTCGGTAGGTGGTACATGTGAAAGTAACATCCACATGAATGCCAGGACCGAAGGTTCCTCAGCACAACATTTCCCAGAGCATAGCACTGCTTCTGCTGGTTTGCCTTCTTCCTATAGCATATCCTGCTGCCATTACTTACCCAGACAATGAGCCTTGGACACCCAT